CTGTTCTCTGAGTTTGATTTGAAGTAGGCTGGGAAAGGAAAGGATAGAGAAAATGAGAGCTCCAAGTTTTGTCTTACGATCTCCTTTTTAATTTGGGTTGTTTTTTTTTCTCCTTAATCTTCTGAGGAGTAAAAGGACTTGCAAACATTAATAAAAAATATCCAAAGATAGAGACATCCCTCTTCAGTGAAGGTTTCTTCAACTAAAAACAGAGGTCCCAATGTAACTCCATTGCCTTCAGCAAGGTTATGATAACAGCAGCTTTAGTTCTAGCTTGTTATAAGCTATGATGCCAAAACATCCTTTCCTCACTGCTCTCACAGCCCATTTGTAGCATGTTCCTGACAGTGATGTTTGCACCAAGCACTGTGCCGAGTGTGTTGCTGGTTCTGCTTGCCCACAGCGTGGATTTAGAACTGCTGCCTTGTGCTCATAGCGCTGCGAGCACCATCCCTCTTTGCAGTTGATTTGCCAGTGCCCTGCTGCCATCGTGGGCTAAGGCTTTTACTTGTTGGTTGTTGCCCAGCTGCTTCAGACACTGCTGGTTGTGGGTTCCTGGTGGATCAGTGTAATGCCTCACAAAGGAGGTGTGAGGTGGTCTCATTTCTCTCTGCTCAGCCACAAAAGTCAGCATGGATATGTTCTGTATGTATGGATAATTCTTTAGTGAAACCCCTGTTTTTTTAAGCAAGTTTAGTGAACTGTTGTCACCCTGAAATAGCAAAACCCATCCTACAGATATCACCAGTATTGCTAATGGATCAGTACGGAGTCCCATGATAAAGCTCAACCATAGATGTTTCTGGTGACTATAAAACTGGGGACACCAAAAACTTCCACTGAAACTTTGTTACTTTTTCTCAGATTTTTTTTTTCCTTTTTTTGGTGCTCTCCTATAGGTTCTCCAAGTATTAAAATTTGAATGCCTGTTGTCAAGCCTTTCAAAACTAAAATTTTTGACATGTGAACTGGGGATCTCATTTTCCTGTGGATTCCTGATCTTTCCTAGGTTCGATGGTTGTAACTGCAGGGAGGTGTTAAGTTTTCTGGGTTTTTTTTTTTGCTTTCCTGTATCAATGAAGGCAAAGCAGAGCCAACTTTACAGAAAACAGTACTTGTTTAGTTTGCCAGAGTGTCAGATTTTGGATTTCTTCTCTCTTGGAATTGAGACTTTAACTGCCCTACGCTACTCTTTTGTTACTCTAACTGCAGTAGAAAATACAGTCCATACAGATGTTCCTAAGTGTTTCAGTGCTGGAGTCTCCTGATCTCACTGGGAGAGGAGACAGGATACCATCCCTTCTTGATAGGTCTGCATGGCACTTCATAAGCAAGATCTGGGGTTTGATGCATACAAACAGAATAGTAAAATCAGCTTATGTGTAACATATGAAGAGCTATAGAGCAAGGGTGGCTCACAGCAGAAGCTGCTGTATGTCCTGTGTACCTGTCTGCTTCAGCAAGCAAGTGTCATTTTTGAATCCTTTCAGATATTTAGAAGTGTTCTTACAGCTGGGGAATGACTGACTGAATGAATGCCTGATTTGGATAGATTCTGTGGCCAAGAAAATGCTATACTTGCATTTTTTTTTGGTTGGAGACTAGTGTCTTGATCATAAAGCACTAGCATTTCATCATGTTTTTCTCTTTTCTTACAAGATGAACCTTAGCCAAAACTGAAGAGTACATACAGTTTGAGGGAACTGCAGTTGTTTAGCCTGGAGAAAAGCGGGCTTGGGGAGACCTTATTGCTCTCTACAAATACATGAAAGGAGGGTGTAGTGAGGTGGGGATTGATCTCTTCTCCCAAGTAACAAGCAATAGGACAAGGGGAAATAGCTTCAAGTTGTGCCTGGGAGGTTTAGACTAGATATTAGGAAAAATGTCTTCATGAAAAGGATTTTCAAGCATTGGAACAGGCTGCCCAGGGAAGTGGTGGACACCCTGGAGGTGTTTAAAAGAGGTGTAAATGTGGCACTTAGGGACATGGTTTAGTGGTGAATTTGGCGGTGCTAGGTTAATGGGTGGACTTAATGATCTTAAAGTTCTTTTCCAACCTAAATGGCTACGATTCAACAATACACAAAATAGTTAACAATGGGCTGAAAATGCGCATGAAAATATGAATGTTTTCTGAATCTGATGGTCTTTGCACTTTTAGTCCTTGCTGCTTTCAACATTTTCTGTTTCTTTCTTAGCTGCAGCTGAGGCTTCTGAAAGGCCCAAAAATGCCCATTTAGGAGGGAAACAGTGATTTTTGTAAAAGGCTCTCATGAAGCACAAATCTCCAGCTTGAGGTTCATCTGTGTGACGCTTGCTTCCATTTTCCATCTAGTGAGACTACCAGTTATTATGTACAGCCAGTCCATGGCTGCTGGGCTTCTGTTGTGCCTGTGTTTCTGAAATTCAACATTTGTGAAGTTCATGATTTTGTTTTAGAAGTGTAGCTTCCTCCTTGTGACCACCAAGTGGTGCTCTGCGCTGCATCTTGCAGCAAGGCAAGCTGTTGGCATTTTGGGATGGGGGTTTAAAAAAAGTTGATTTCAGAAGTAGGAATGAGCCTAGAGATGAGGAGGAAACAGGAGCCTTTTGCCCTCACAGTGGTTGTGCTTCAAGGACTACATCTTGATGCTGTGGCTGCATGATGATTGATGTAGCTAGGTGATGATCAGATGTGATAAGTAGTCTTGGCACTTTCAATTTGGGTGTTCAGCTTGGCTGCCTCCTAGGCTTTAGAGCTACAGAGATGGCTATCTGCTGCTTCAAAGCTAAATCCTGGCAGGTGTCCTTTGATTCGGTTTATTAAAAATCCAAGAAGCTTCTAAAAATCTTGTTCTAAACTAGTTTTTCAGAGATAAAAATCAAATCCCTGTTTTCTCTTGGCTGTTTTTTCACTCGGTTCATCTAGGGAAAACCTCTGTTTCATGTTCCTCTTGTCTGGTGTGCTAGCTGTTTAATGATTTTGCTAGTAAGGTTGGGAAATGTTTACAGCTGTATTGCTCTCAGCAGAGGCAAAAGACCTAAATTAGTTTTTTTGTTTCTTTGTAGGTTTCCTGCAAGAACTCTTCAGGTGTCATTCTCAGGTTTACAGAAGCTGTGTATTTTGTATGAAAACGTGCAGTTTGATAGAGAAAATTCTTATGTTAATTTGAAATGAAGGGCACATTATAAGACAGAAACTGCCAATAAAATATAATGGGAATTTAAGGGGCTAACAACATCCCTATAAGACCCATTAGATTATCTGTGTGGTATAATTGTTTGCAGGAGTGATTATTCCTTTGCAGGTACTGAAAGGTATGCTATAGCAGGATGATGCAGCTAAATTCAAATAGAATTCATTTGTATGAAATGCATTGCTGGAATGGAAAGGTGGCAAGCAAGATTGTCTTGTCTGATAAGCTGGAAAAGTCTTGCAGTGTTTCAGAGGAAATCCTTGAATTAGAAAGGAAAGGGATGCCATGTTAACAGCACAGTGAATGCCATGGTTTTATGACTTGCACTGATTTCTCTAGGTATTCCAGTCTGTGAATTAGAGGCCAAAGGAAGGAGGCCAGCTTCTCCTATCTAATGCAGGTTGTATAGCCACCAACTAAATAGCTTCTCCACAGTTCACCAGTTTGTTTCTTGGGTGTTTTGTGGAATAGCTGTGCCAGAGTTCTGTTGCATCCCACAGCGGAAAGGGATTACATACTTTCAGCATGTATGATACGTGCAGCCCCTCAGGTATCCTACTCAGCCGCTTCGTCTTATTGCAGTGTCTGTAACCTATATGAGGTATGAATCCAACATAACAGGATATCTAGAAAACAGATGTTGATTTGGCTGGATTGTTAGTTTTTAACATGGTCTAAATGAGCTGCTCAGATGCAAGGTGGTGGGCTCTCCCAGTGTGAGTATACATCAGGAGGGAGTTTTATACAGGGCTGAGTAGAGCTTCATGTAAATTAGATAAAATGCATAAATATTATGGGTTTTTTTTCAGCTTTGAAGAACTAACAGTGAGAAATTTGAAGCATGTGCTTATTCCAGATACTATCTTTTCATGGTAGGTAGCTCCATTAGTAGATATTAAATAGCTCGAATGCAAATTCTGGATCAGGAAGTCTTTGATAATTAAAAGCTGGGAACAGAGACTGTTGGAAGACTGGCTCTGTGTATGTGCCCTGCTCTAGTCTTTCTTCAGCATCTGTGGCTAGTTGTGGTCAGAACTAGGGCACGGACAGAAAGGGCCTTTGGTTCTGATCCAGTGTGGTCATTCTTGTGTTGCAATTTTAGATTCTAGCAATGGGATATGTCTTTTAATTATTTCTCTCTGTGTGTTAGCTGTATGGTCAGCTTTGGAACAGAGTGGTATCTGCTGTAGTGGAGAATCCACAGGGATTTCCTTGTGTCACATTTATCTGCTCTCACATGAAGTGTAGGCTGTGCTGTCTTCAATACTGAATTGAGTCCTCCTTGGTCAGGCCTTTTGTCTCGTGATAATCTGTTGTGATGGGAGTGCTGGTATAAACCTGCTGAGGATCACTACCATCCCCACTGTTTCCCAGCACCTAAGAGCCCATCTGTCAGCACGTATCAAAGTGAGAGACTTTTTCTGGAGGAGGGACCATACCAGTCTAATTGGGCTGGAAAGCAGCACCCTTGCAGAATTGTGAAAGGCTTAATGAAAGTTAAAAATAGAACCAGCTTATTGCTGCCTCCAAGATTGGAAATCCGGGAAACAGTTCTTTCTTTAGATGTAAGTAGTTGAGCGGAAAGCACTATAGTTACATATACTCAGGTATTTGTACACATGCACATGCTTTTTTATATTCTGCTATTAGGAAGCAAAATAACATTATGTCCCACTAATGCATTTGACAGTCTTTTCTGTTAGAAAACAGGCACAAGTTGATTCATTTGTTCTGCCTTTGGAAGTGGTGCTCACCTATAGAGATGTATGAACTTTCTGTCTTGTTGGATGTTTCCTGATGTTGCTTTTGTGTCTGCCTGGCCAGAGGGTGAGGAAGAGGATGAAGAGGAGGAAGAAGAAGAAGAGGAGGAAGAGGAAGATGAGGAGGACAAAGACATAGATTTGATGGATGAAAGCATGGAGGGTGACACGGAGCTGCCAGGTTTCATGCTTCCAGGAGAGACCTCCCAGGAGCCCATAGCTGGCCTGGAAAACCCTGTGGCCCAGCTGGCTGGGGTGTCCTACCAGGTTCCTGATGCCATCGAGTGGGAGCAGGAGAACCAGGGTCTGGGTAAGACAAAATGCCCCTTTTTCCTTTACCCTTTGCATGAGGCAGTCCCTAGTGCCAGAAAGTCTCATGGGTTGGCTCTCAAGCTAAACACAGAGCGGGTTCATTTCTGAGGAAAGCCCATCTACTGGTCGCAACTGATCAAACTGGGATGGGTCCCAGGTAGTATGATCTGAGTTTTCATTTTGGGGAGAGTTATTCTTAATACTCCAGATCTGCCCCTTTGTTCCCAGAGCTTAGTGTTGTCTTGCTTCATGGGTGAGAAATAAAGAGCTTCTCAGATGAGGGTCTAGAGGAAATTTCAGTTCCCTTTGCCTGAGATGGGTTAGTGCAAGGACACATCCTCTGAGGGTAAACCAATAGGGGAGTTGCTGATCAGTCTGTTTGCTATTTCAGCAACATCTTTGTAAGTGCTGTTTTTCTGGCATTTTTAAGGACTGTACAGTCCAGCCACGGGACCCTATGCTGGCAGTGTTAAGTAAGACAAACCTTCAAAGCCTCTATAAAGCTTTATACAGTTTATCCCCACTGTATATAAAGGCACTATGTTTAATGACTGGACTAATTTATTCCACTTATAAAGACCTTATCAGCGTTTATATGTGTGATGTCCATCTTATGCAAGTCAAAGGTGGTGTGGGACAAGGTAGAGGTTAGAAGGGAACTTGCCCAGCTTGGCTAAGGTCACTGAGATCATTTCCCAGCATACTCAATTTCCAAGCCAAGTCCCATCAAAAGCACTTGAATTGGTGGGAGCTGAACCTCATCTATACTGAAGTTCTTTGTGTCTCACTATTACAGCTCTACCTGTTTTGAGAATTTCATTAAATAAAACCCCAAAACACTTTTATAGGCGGTGTTATAAGAACTGTCACTTCCCCTGGATGTTTAATTCTGGTAGTTCTCCCCCTGTAATGCTGTTTCTTTGCTTTAGTGTTGTTAGCTTCCTCTGAATTGAATCAAATAGCGTATTTCAAGAGCTCCATGGGAAGGTTGCTTCTTGAGGGCAGGCTGAGTTTGCATCAGGTCTGATATCTTGCTGTCCCACTAACTCTTGCTTGAAAATCATCATATTGAATGGTTGCCATGTCTGATCTGTTTAATGAGTCCTGTTATCCCATGAGGCTTGACAGGAGCTGTGTGAGGGGAATAATTCTAATGTTGGCTTTGGCAAGCTGGATTAAAGAGGTATGTGAGAGCACTCAGAGGAAAAGTATGTAAGAAACACAGTTATAATGGGTGTTGCATCAGCAGCTTTGTGTTCTTACTTTAGTAATTTCCTTGGTAGAGGATCCTTGTGGTGTCTTGAGAGAAAAGATGAGAAGAGTGGCATATTTTCTGCACTCAGGAATGCAGTGGTCTGGCTTGGTGAGCTCTGTACGATCGCTAGCAATAGCGAGAAGTTAGCATCTAAGGCTCTTTGCCTGGTTCAGGGTCGAAGTACTGGGATGAATGGCTTGACAGAGCTTCACCTCTGAATCAGTCAGTCCTGGCTAAGGATGCCACTGCTTTGTGATGTGTTTAAGAGAGGCAGTGTTTTGCAGACTCCAGGGTATGTCCCCGCACACCAGACATCACTTTGCGCACCATGGAGGAAGATGGCACTGGTATCTCTCTTCAGGAATCTTTGTGCATTTAATATCCTAGGTAGGGTGGCTGATGTAATGCCATCAGCTTGAGTCCCTGGAGGGCTCTTGACAGTAGTTCTGTTCTGGAAGAGGGGGCAGGGCATGGCTGGTTTGCCTGAAAGGATGTCTGGAGACTGATGAAGGTGCTGTTTGTTTATGACATTGGCTGTTGCCATGACCTCTGGGGCTATGTAGGAGGTTGTTCCTCAGGCACAGTTCTGTTCATAGCTGATGCAGGTCTGAACTTGAGTTATAGCTGTGTTTCCAGTCTTACTACCTTTGCTGCTGTAGGAAGAGGCTTGGGGTAGGATATGCCTATCAGGTATGTTGGTAAATGAGGCGGGTGAGAAAGCAGAGACCAGAGGCTGAAGCTGTCCCTTGTGTGCAGTAAACCTCTCTGACTGGAGAGGCTGTAATAATTGTGCACAAAAAATAAGCAGGTCTGGGCTGGGAAACAGTGAGGAGCTTTAAGACTTCTTGTGTAACAGCACCTGTATGAAAGTCCTTGCTCTAGTGCAGAGCCATGCTGGAGGGTGCACTTTGCGATGGCTGTTCTAAACACCTGCTTCTGGACGTATGGGTCTGGTTCAGTTTCTGATGTTTGATATTGCATCATCCTGCAACTTTCATCCTCTACTACCTTCTCTCTTTCTTAAATCTTGGAAAGGCTTCTTTCAGAAAATTTCAGACATGGGATAAATTGATTTTATGGCAAAAAGGATTTTTTTCTCCCTAACTTATGTTTTATTTAACCTTATGTAAATTGGAGGAGTCCCCTGTAAAGCCTGTCAAGTTGGCTCAGCTGCAGAGCGCTGAAGCCGTGCATGTGATTGACTGGGCAGACACAAATTTCTGCATTGCCTGGAAGTGCATAGCTGGGTTATGTGTTACTGAATTTAAATGGTTTGGATTGCCTTTTATTTTTAACCTGTTGCAGTCTGTAGAGGCAGCTGTGAGGGAGAGGATGAGGCTGTGGCTGAGCTGAGTTCATCTTTGGCAGTTTGATGGGATTTCTGTGCAATGATGTAATAGGTGACAAAAGAAGGGACATGGTGGGATTAGTCTCTCTGCTTGTGACTCACCCCTCTTATTCCACAAGGTAAAAACTTATGCAAAGAGCTGTATATTCTTTTTATGTCTAGACAACCTTAATGACCCTTTGGTACTGTTTCCTTCCCCATCTACAGTGCTCCTAGGAGGAAGAGAGATTATTTATGTTTGGGAGGCACGAAGAAAACCAAGGGCTTGCATGAGCTCACACTGAAAATCTGAAGCCAAACAAGGAGCATATCCTAGGTTGAGGGGAGCCAAAAGGCGTTGTATGGTGGGAGTGCATATGGAATGGGAGATGCTGTCACATCTCCATGTAGTGCTGGACTCCTTTTCTCTGAGATGCTGCGGCAGTAGTTGTACCCCTTCCACTTTTCCCAGTTTGTGCCAGGTGGGAGTTTCTGTCCTGGTACATTGGCCCTGCGTGCATTGGCACATGCTGGGCTACTGTTGTGTCCATATCTGTGTCCAGACCTGATCCTGGTTACGTGTTTATGATACATATTAGGGAGAAAAGGAATGGTAGAAAAAGTGTATAACTCATGTCAGCAGGAAGTAGATTGTTAAGAACAGAAGAAACCCCCTGAATGTGACAGTAGGTCAGAAGACATGCCCATCTGCTTGAGCACCTGGAGAGACCAGACTTGCTGTGAAGGGCTTGATCTACTGGACACATGCACAGATTATTTGTCTTTCAAATCCTTCTTCTTTAAGTGATTTTTATTCCTTTGACATCTATTTTTTTTTAAGTGCTTTTCTTCTAAAGCTAAAATCAACTTGACTGTAAGGCAGCTTCATAACCACTGGATGTCCCCAGACACAACCCCTGGAGGGGGGAGCTGCAGTTCTGAATGCAGCTGGGTCAGGGGCATGTGTCTGTGCAATTTGAGGAAGAGCTCTGTGCTTCCCTTACTTTGCCAAATAGTACTGAGGAATTTCTCATCTTGTGCACATGAGGTACGGTTTAGAAGGGGAAGTTGTTCTGCTTGACCTAGTATACAGCATAGGAAAGGAAGACCAGAAGACAGATAATGATACCCAACATAGTACAAGATGAGGGTACGCCATCTAGAGCAGCAAACTTTTACAGTTGGCATTTTCCATTTTTAAAATACTTCACACATATGTCTTGCTCCTGGGGATATATTTCTCCTCTACCCTTCAGAATTTTGACATTTTATGCTAAAATCTATGGTACAGAAGAGCCTAGAAATATCGGAATAGCTATCCTCAGGTCAATTGTTATTGAGTTTGCTTGGTCTGATGGCTTGACACACTGCAAATCCCTAGAAAACAAGTAACTTGATCCACAAACAGCTTGACAGAGCAAGAGACAGGTTTGGGTTTTTGTAGTGGTCAGTGATGAAATGCTGGAGAAACAGAATCGTAGTCCTGTCCTACTCTTACCTTTCTTCATCCAGCACAAGACTGCTGTGTCCTAACAGTGTGTCTGTTCTGCTGTGAATTGGGGTGAGGAGCTTCAAGCCACAGAGCATGAACCACCAATGCATGGGATCACATCCTTCCTCTTGGAAGCACAGTAAGTATTCTTGTCCTCTAAGCAGAAGTCAAGACCAAAGGAAGGAAACAGAGATGAGTAAAGCAGAAGATTAGAGGGTGTTTTAGTGATTTACAGCTCTGAAAGCAAGTAGCTATCAGAAATAGGTGAAATCAAGCTGTTATGGTAGAAAAAATTGTATATGCTTGCAATTTATCCAAAGGAAGGGAAAAACAGCAGGAGCCTTTCTATATGGAAACTTTCAGCAGGGAACTTGGGCTGATATTTTAGCCTGATGGTTTTGGTGGAGTATGTTGAGAAACAGCAGCACTATAACATCCTCAGATCATGCTCACTCATCATGGCTTGACTTCGCGAACGAAGATTTGGGAAGGGCTTTTACCCACGCTTACTACAAGCGTGCTGATGACTAAGAAGGCCAATGTGGGATAGGCAAATCCGGCTACAAAAAGCACAGCAGAAGGTCTCCTTGGGTGGAACAGGTGGGGCGCGATTCTTCCTGCGTTGTCTTTTCTCCTCGAGACTAGTTTGTCGTGAACTCTCAAAGGAGTCAGCAGCATTATGTATGGTGTGCTTCCATGTCTCCCGATTGGAGGCCAAGGTGGACCACTGATGGTAGTCAATATGGCCAAGGCTAAGGTATTGTTTCAGGGAGTCCTTATATCTCTTCTTCGGGGCACCTCTCTTGCGGCTACCAGTGGCAAGTTCACCATAAAACACGATCTTGGGGAGGCGGTGATCCTTCATTCTAGAGACGTGCCCTGCCCAGCGCAGCTGCAATTTCAGCAATGTGGCCTCGATGCTGG